GTTCGCCTGCTGCTTCTTAGCTTAGTACAACGAGTTGCGCCCTGGTCTAGCAGACGAGTCTTCGGATTTGTTGTCACGCCCTCACTCCTTCGCCTCGATAGGGAGGAGCACAGCCTCGACCAAGCAGACAGCCTTCAGCTCGGGCTGATGGAGCTAAGGACGCATCAACTCGAAGGTAGGCCTCTAGCCTCTATGGTCCTTCCTTCACCTTCTCTATTGACACTCGATGGTCGAACGCATGGTTAACCGGTAAATCTCCAATCTCCTCGTCCAACGAGTATGGCACCGGTCGATAGGTAAGTATCCGCCCCCCCGTATCCGCCGTCAGTCACTCGCTGTCCCCCTGCTCCCTTTTGCTCCTCGTAGTCGTCAGAGCTTCTTCCTTGTTCCTCTACTCGCCATCTCTATACTTCCAACACCGATTCGCACCCCTCTCCGGTCATAGCCTAGCATACTAAACTTCTATACTAACTCGCTCTTTACTACTTATCTATTCTCTCGTGCGCCGATGTGCGCTCTCTTTAATCCGTGTAAAAAGAGAATGAATCCTCTGTTCGAACGTGGAAAGATACGTTTCCTTAATTAACCTTCCTCTTTCATGCGCAGCCCCTTCGCCCCATAGCTGCCAAGTCACCCACCCCATGCAGAAACCAAGTTCACAATCCAACTCGCAATATGCGAACCCCCCCAACTCGAACCTCTCCTTACCCGAATCTACTGAGAATCGGGTGGTATACGCCCATTTCCTTCTCTTCCCCCCATAGCTCGGCGCAACCCTTTTCTCAATAGCGCCTAATCGTACTAACTCCCGACCAAAACTAATGGTGTTGCTGCATTCGCAACGACTGAAAACCTCTATACAACCTTTTAGATCACTTGACTTTGATTAGAATTGTGTGAGATAGGAAGCTCTTGCCCTGCCATCCCCACTCTTCTCTACCTTTACCCCGAATCTACCCTGGCACGAAACGCGTCCGGGTCCCTCTTCTCCTTTTTCTACCGGCCCGCTATTCCCCGCACGCCCTTCGTCGCAAAACTGCGCCCCGACTCACCTCGTCTTCCTTGCCTTTCCGCTATCTCTTACTTAGCGCAACTCTCCGTGATATCGGATCGTACATCGCTCGGCTCCGACAGACACGACGATCGAAGGCAGAAACAAAAAACCGACCGGGCGCTTAGGCCCCCCGCCCGATTTATGCATTTCGCCCTCGTGTCGGCACCATGCCAATGTTCTCTGTATCATTCCAATTTTAACAGATGTCCCGAAGGACGCAGGTGGGGGTAAGACAGAAAGAAGGACAGAAAGAAAGACAAAAAGAAAGACAGACCGAAAGACAGACCGAAAGACAAACCGAAAGACAGGCCGAAAGACGGACCGCCCCTGCCAATCCCAAAAGCCAAGGTAACTGTCGTGGCCTTAAAGGTTATCATCGACGTTGGCCGGCGTTAAGTGATCAGACACGCAATACTCTACTCGTTTACACCCCGCAGATCCCGACACTAAGCCTATATTCCACCAGCTCAGGCATACACCACCTTTGCTGAACCTGTTGGCTAGGGCCTCGCGCCGACGCTCGAGCTCGATATCGAGACTTTTCCTTGCCTGAAGGGAAATATAAGCGGGGCCATCAGCCACCACCCTCGCTTCTCTTTATCAGACATGTGTCCCTTAGCCACTAAAACCAAGGGGAATGGCCATGCCCTGCCCCCAGCATCTCAGTTTCTTCTCACTGCTCTGACGCTTCCTCGTCGTCGCTCGATGACCTCGATCCCTGGATCTATCTAATGAAGGTCCGATGTGGTGACCAATAGGGCTAGGCCCAAGTCTGGGTCTAGCTCTGACGGACACCTAAATAGACTGACACTGCACGAAGCGCAGGCCTACCAAACATCTTCAGGATCACGGTGTTGTTGATGCCGTCCTCCGTACGTATGCACAGGTCGCTCGCAAGCGCATTAATCAATCGAGACATACTCTTCTTAATCGTAATTTAATCAGGAACAAAAACCCGGCTGGCGACTATGTCGATTTTCACAACCATCTGCCAAAAATAAAAGATCACGCGCGCCTCAAGCTTGCGCGCCCACACACTCCCTACTCTCGTCAACCATTCAGTCAACATAAACCACAGACACAGCCGCGCCTCGTGCGGTATACTTAAATTTTAAATCAAACTTATTTTCTGTCGCTTGCAAAAACTAGGGCGGATACCCTTGTAAGGGTATTCGCCCCGACAACGCGGATGATGATGGAGGGAAGGAAAGGACATCGACGGAGGGAGTAGGAGATCAATGACGGGGGAGGGAATGGAGGAGGGAGGAGAAGATGGATGGCGAGGGAGGAGGGGGAAGGGAGAAGTACAGAGGGAGGACGACGCCGATGATGAAGGAGGGAGGGGGAGGACAACGACGGAGGGAGGAGGGAGGGGGAGCAGTGGAGCACTATTAAAAAAATCATATTTATCAAAAAAAGAGAAAAAAAAAGGAGGACATGATGAAGGAGGGAGGGGAACGGCAGTGACGGAGGGAGAAGGAGATCGATGACGAGGGAGGGAATGGAGAAGGGAGGAGGAGATTGATAGTGAGGGAGGAGGGGGAATGGAGAGAGCAGAGGGAGGACGGCACCGTTGATGAAGGGGGGAAGGGGAGGACAACGACGGAGGGAGGAGGAGATCGATGACGAGGGAGGGAATGGAGGAGGGAGGAGGAGATCGATAGCGAGGAAGGAGGGGGAAGGGAGAAGGGCGGAGAGAGGACGACGCCGATGACGAAGGGGGAAGGGGGGAGGAGGGGATCGATGACGGGGGAGGGAATGGAGGAGGGAGGAGGAGATTGATAGCGAGGGAGGAGGGGGAAGGGAGAAGGGCGGAGCGAGGACAACGCCGATGACGAAAGGGGGAGGGGGAGGCCAGCAGCAGAGGGAGGGAGGGGATGGAGGAGGGAGGAGGAGATCGGTGGCGAGGAAGGAGGGGGACGGGAGAAGTGCGGATGGACGACGCCAATGGTGGAGGGGGGAGGGGGAGGACAATGACGGAGGGAGAAGGGAGGGGGAGCAGTGGAGCACTCTTCAAAATTCACATTTATGAAAAAAAGGAAAAAAAAAAGGACATGATGAAGGAGGGAGGGGGACGACAGCAACGGTGGGAGGAGGAGATCAATGACGAGGGAGGGAATTGAGGAGGGAGGAGGGGAAGGGAGAAGGGCAGAGGGAGGATGGCACCGATGATGGAGTGAGGGCGAGGACAATGACGGAGGGAGGAGGAGATCGATGACGAGGGAGGATTGAGGAGGAGGAGAACGCTGGGGAGGGATGGAGGAAAGACAATGGAGGAGGAATAGAGTGGAAGAGACGAACGAGGAGGGATCAGGGGCGGGGATGGAGGAGCACTCTGATAAGCTGGGGAGGAAGAGAACTATGGTGAAGGAGGGAGGAAGGAGGAGGTGGAGAAGAACGATGGCAAGGGAGAAACGGGGAGGAGGAGGAGCTGCACAGCTTCCACAGAGAGAGAGAGAGAGG